TAACTTCAAAATATGTGACTCGTATTACTTCTACCAATTTTTAAACTGGTTATGTTTATGTTTTAATAATATTGATTGATATTTCATATGTATAATACTAACTACATATATTTTAAATGGAAAACGAGTTATAGAAAGATTAAAAAATGGAAAACATATTTGTATGATGTAAGTTCTAATGGTGATATACTAGTAGCATCATAATTTCAGTTCAATCTATACTGTTAGTCTTATCTCCCCAGCTTTAAAGACACCATACTCAAGTATTCTGATGGTTAAGAAAACACTTTAAAAGTAGTGCTTGCCTTGCTTGTTTTAACCTGCAACCTCAGAATTTGAACACAAGTTCTATCTTGCTTTGCTCCTTCACTAATCTCTCTAAAGGGCTTCTCAGCAGAAATATGTGCATATATTCACATGTCCAAGTGCACACACTGAGTGCATTCCATACCCGACAAAACTGCCCTCAACTGGAAGATCTGTTGTTGTTGAGGGAACAGAGTAATGTTACCTTTCGCCCTATTGTCTATTTCACTGAATTAAAACATCTACTTGACTTTTTTTTGTTTTATTAATTTTTAAAACAAAATTCAATTTAATCTCTTTCAAAAAGTCACTATATTGACTTGGGATTAAAATAAAATTTGAATATATCACTATGGTTGCAGAAATAAGCACTTACAGTGTACTACACTACAACTTTTGATGTTTTAGTTTATTTTCTATTTGGCTTTTTATAGATATTTATATTTAAATGAAAAGCAAAGATATCATTTGAATCTTGGTAGTGAAGAAATACAAAAGCAAAGAAATTACCATCAGATATATGGTAACAGAGTCAAGGAAAAAAATTCTAGGCAATTTTGAACAAACGAAAACAAAACATGGTAACATCATTCTGTACTTAATTGTCTAATAACAAAATGTTCACCAGATGACAGAAACAGTATCTATTTCTGTTATAACAAAAACTGATTTTTTTTAGCTTTTATGAATTGTTACTTCGTTGGTATCTTTTTTATGAATTAGATTTCTAATAGCTGGATTAGATTTAGGCTACTTATAAAAAAGGAACCATGCAGTTATTTCAGCTTAATGGATGATTAAAACACAAAATATTTCATATTTATTTATATTGTACACAATTTAAAAAGTCTTTATTCAAATCTTAAAAGTAAGATTTACTTTTAAATTATTCTTCAAGCCTTGGAAAATGCTAGGAAAAAGATTTTAAGTTACAAATAATATATAAATAGTTTACCCTACAAAGAAAAAATAATTAAAAAAACAGAAAAACTGCTTCAATGAATGACACAAGACCCCCCCCCACCCACTGCCAAAACAAAATCAATCAAGAATTGGAAATTATCAGTCAGGTCCAATTATTGATATTAAATTAAACCTCAGTTCAAACAAAATTTTGCCTTTAAGAAGGCACTAGTACTGTCAACTTAGAAATAATTGATCACTAAATTTAAGTCAGTTGAGAAAAAGCAAGAAAAATTTTCTCTCTCTCTCTGTATATTTTTAATCCCCAATGTGATAGTGCCAACAATCACATTGGGGATTAAGAATATACACAGATTAAGAATATACATGTGTTTATATTTAAACAATCCTCTATAAAAAAAAAGTCAATCTTTCAATAGAAGCATGTTAGGCATGAATTTCAGGACAAATTTTTTTACAGTATAGATTTTTAGAAAGATGATTAAGTTTTGTTTTTCTCTACTATATCTTATGCTCTCAGATTCTTTATGAACTTCAGCTGAGATATTTTGAAATAGAAACAAAAAACAGAAACCCCTCACTTAGCCTGCTGTTTCCCTCTTTAAAGCTAGGATCATCATGCTAGAGAATAGCTTAGGACCAAAATGTAAACTAAAATCAAGAAGGAATGAATTTTAATGAATCCAAATGGAAATGGTAATGATCTATCATCATCTTGCAAGTAAGGAATTGTAAAATTTATTCTGCCTCAGTACATCTAAAAATTAACTTTACATTTATAGATAGCATGAGGCATTAATCAATTTACCTTAAAGATAGACTAGAAAGAGTTAATTTGTACCTAAATATATGTCATGAGATCTGCTGTTTTATTAAAGAACCTTTAATTTCTGAGATGTTTGGAATGAGTTTCTGGAATAGAAATGGTCAAGAAAACAAAGGGTCCAAATATGAACACAGCAACCTAGCATGTGTCTTTTAAATGTAGGTGTTAGAGAGTGCTGAAAACTAGCTATAACCTCAGCATGTGCTTCGTTTTCAGATTATTTTAGTGGGGAGAGTAGGTTTTTATTGTTCTTTCCAGTGGGATTTCATGCATGGATTACTTTCCCATTTTACACCATTAGTTAATACATTCTCTCTCTACCCTCTTCCTTCCACACTGAGCAAGGAAACCTGCAGGATAAATGAGTTGCAACCAATAAACAAGATTAAATACCCAAATCTTTCCAGTTTCCCCAGACCCCTCCCCCTATAAACAAACGCCTACCCTGTTTTCTATGGCTGGTCTGCAAACACATATGTACACACTAATCACCAAAGAGTCTTCAGTGAAGGTCTCATCCTTCCCACCCCTCCTCCAGAAGAAAGAGTATTTTAAAGTTTTCACCTAAGTGAAGTAGTATTAATACAGGATATAATTCCAATAAAAGTACTCATGCTTATCTACTACTTTAACAACTATGGATAATGTTTACCAGATAAAAATTCCAATTCCTGACTCAGGAGTTGAAAATTTAAAAAACCAGTTTCTGTCAAACAGAACAGTTTTTTGTTTGTTTTTTTAAAATATTGATTGTATAAATCTTTGATTTTGATAAAACATTAAAAAATATCCCAGGTTTTAGAGTTTTGGCTTGTCTAAATGATTAATTTTGACTTTTTTTATTTTTACAATTACAATTTTCTCTAATAAATTCCTCAATAGTTTTCTACTGTATCATTTCCAAAATAAAAAAATAACTGAATATATAAATTCCAACCTAGAATCATTTCACAAACAATCTTATTTTCATAATTTAAATTTCTTAGGTGATAAAGGATTATCTAAATTATTAACTCTATAATCTTTAGCATACTACAAATTCAGTCCTTAAGTTTTAATTAATTTATTCAACTCAAACCATTTCTAAGTTATTCTAATGTTTCTGATGAATAATTTTACATGACAAGTTCAAAAATACTATCAACCACATTAGTGAAATGTAGTTGAATTATATAAATGTAAATAAAATATGTTTAATGATTACTTCTATTTTAAAGTAGTTTTTCTTTACTAACCAATTCAGTTGTTAAAATTTGTTTTAAAATTTTGGTACATGGCAATTTATGTTACTTTAGTTTTTAGAGACTAACAGAACTAATAATTTTTTCAAAAGCACTTAGAGGAAGACGTAACATCACAGGATGTAACATCACTAAGAGTAAACAACAGAAAATCTTTGAACTCTCTGATTTAAACCAATCCTCTCAAAGTTTTAAATATTTACTGAAGAATTATCATTTTACCGTTTTTAACCAAATCGAGTATTTTGTCAAGACAAAAAATGAACAATTATCTGCAAACAAATTAATTTATATTCTTAACTGGTACATTTCCTTTTCTCCAGATAATTAAAGGTTAGTAAAGTCTGTTATGAAATTAGATATACCAAACAAATTTATACTTCCTTCTTTTTTTGTCATAGCCAGAGTTCTGATCTGTATTTCTGATGAAACCAACAGCAATTTATGTATATAATTACAAACTCACCAAAGACACCAGTACCTAGTATACACCATTGTGGCTGTTTGCCTTTTCAGTTAATCAAATTAAATATGATTATTTCGTTTGTTTTGTGCTTTTCCAAGTCAAATTCATATTTATTTTTTCTCACCGTCTCCACCAAACGTCAGTAAAATTGGAACATTTCAGCTACAGAAATCGTTAATCCTTGAAGGTCGGTCTCAGCTTCATTGGTCTTAGGGCAGCTTCAACGAAAACGTGGTCTCAGCATAGTTGATTTTACCCGGAATTTTTCGTTTGCTTTTTTTGGAGGGGTTGTTTGATTTTGCTTAAAACAACCCTGTGGACCACAAAGGGGTTTAGGAAGGGAGGGGGCAGGGCGAGTCGATTACTCTAGAAGCCCAGAAAAGTTCAGGTACCTGAGAACACATTTGGTTGTAGTTGTTTTAAGTTAAAAAAGGACGTATAAACTCTAAGATGTTGGAAATGGGCAGGGAAACGAAGATGTGACTCCAGCTGCTGAGCATGGCGCAAATCCAGAACCTCCGGGCGCTGGACGTTGGGGGAAGGGAGGGGACCGTGCGGGCACCATGCGGTCAGCCAAGGGGCGGGCTCCACCCACGGACGCAGAACTGCTTTCCACCCTTCCTCAGCGTTACCTCCCTCTTTCCTCCTTGGGGGTTGGGGCTGGGGGCGAGCAGTTAAAGGGCAGGAAAAACGAGAGCGAGCAGAGGGGAACACAATCCCACCTCTCAACCTCGACAAAACCAACGAGGGAGCAAAGGGTTATTTTCGCGCCACAAAAGATGGAAATCCAGGGGCGGCTCCGGGGCCAATGAATGGAAACCAGCAAACCGCTCTGGCGGAGGCGGCCCACGGCGATAGGCTCCCCCCGTCAGCCAATCGGGAGCGAGGAGAGGCCCCCGCCCGCAGCAGGGGCGGTGTCTCTCTCGACGCCGGTTGCTCAACTTGGACTCGGCAAGCCGGCCCCGGGGAGCGCGGGAGCCCCGCCTTGTACCCGCTTTTGCGCGCCAGTCTCACGGCCCGCCCCACCCCGGGCAGACCCGCAGGGCTCGGCGAGGGATTCTACCCAGTGGGTACCAAGCATCTCTGAGCCCCACGGAATCCCTCGCGCACACACGCAACTGAGACCGGAGGTGCGGGAGAATCGCCAAACCCACGCTGCCCGGTGCGTCCCCGCGCTGGCGGGCGGACTCAGGTGGGGTGGCGCGGCGAGGGCCCCGGCCACTCGACTCCGCACATACGGACGCAGCCCCAGGAGGACCCAGAAGCCCGCAGTCCCGCGGTAGGGCCCCGGGAAAGGGCGGTCCAGTGGTCCAGGCCCTCCGAGGCGAGCCGGCGGCCGACGAAAGACCCTCCCCAGTGTTGAGCTGTGAGGATCCCGCCCTCTTTCTCAGGGCAGAGCCAGAGGAAAAAGGAAACAACCCCATCTTCTCTCCCGGGGCACCATTTTTATTTATTTTAAACAATAAGATATATGCAGGCAGCTTCCAGGGAGAGGGCAGATCCAGGTTACCACTTACTACGCCTCTGGTTTAAACAGATCAGAGTCCAGGAGGGCCGTTCAAAAGCGCAAGAGCCTCTTAAAGCACCTCCGAGGAGGCCCAAGCGACACGCCAGGCATTGTGTGCCCACCCGCGTGAGGGGATTCGGCTTGAGACTCCAGGCTGGTCCCAAGTCGGGCATGAGGAGGGGTGTCAGCCCCTTCCCCCCATCTGCCCACTCAGCCTTTGCCCCTGACATGTGGGTACAGCAACGGTAACTGGCCTTCTAAACATAGCTATGCTTTAATATTATGCTGACCCAAAAGAAACATTTGTACAGTCCTCAGTTCAGCAGATAAGGAGGAGATGCAGCTGTCCAAAGAGTAAACAGACTGCAATTGGAAAGACTCAGCCGCATCCCAGAGCACACACAAGGTGGGAGTTCTTTCTTCGTGGAGTTCACATTAATTAGGAGCTACAACTGCTTCAGGAAGAAGCTGAAGTAGCCTATAACCAGTTAATTTGTGTGAGATTCATTTAAAAAAACCTCGAAGTTAAATTGATTTTATATTCATTCTTGAAAATTCACCAAAGGTATCTTTGTACTTGAAGTGCTAGTGCAAGAAAACTACCTAAGATCTTTTGACTCAGCCCTTAAATGATTGGAGACTGGAAGTGGAGTGGACTGCATCTACCTCTCTTTGATGTCTGAGCTTATATTACTCATGTATGTTTTTAAGGTCCTAGATGGACTATCCAGTTTGTTACAATAATACACAGATTAGGTTAACAGGAGTCCCAGGAACATATTTCATCAAAACATACACTTGTTTTAAATTCCAGCTGTTAAGATTTGTTTGATAGTGCCAGACAAGCATGGACTAGTATTTATGGAAAATAAACAATTTATTCCATGCTTTAGAAGTAGATATTTCCTTAGGTCTCAGTTTTAGTAAGAGCAAATACAGTTAACCCAGAAGCCATGGTTCAATTGATTTTGGAAGCAAACTGAACACACACAATTTGTTTTTATGAAAAATTACTAAAAGTTAAATGATCAACAGGTTGTAAAATTTACAGTGATACTGAGAAGTGCAAATATTACCAAATGAACGAATGAAGAACATTTCTCCAAATGGCTTTTCTACAACAGGTACATTTAAAATAAATCCATAATTTTTGATATTTACATTTTGCATACCACAGAAGCCAAAAGAAAGAATACATTTCTTTTTTAGAACTGAAGTTCTCTTTTTTAAAAAAATAGCTTTAAAAAAGTTAAACCTAACCATAAACTTAAAGAGAAATTTTACCAAAACGTTCTTTCAAGGCTGAGCTCTTAATTCAGTTCCAAATATTGTAACACAAAAAGACGTCTGTCCCCCTATTTTATAAAGTAACAACATTTCATTAAACGTGAATGAAATATTGTGAAAGTGTGTTTACGTTTAAAATGTTGGATTCGCTTGGCAGGAAAGAAAAACCTGTAAGAAAGAACAGTTGCATTTAAAATGGATGATCTGACACCTTCCGGTTCCTTAATACAAAATTACAAAGTAAGTTCCCTTTAAAAGACAAAATGTAAATACTCTTTATATCATGCAGTAATTCCCATGTTTAAATCTACCATTCATCTTTTAAATGAAAAATACACATTTTAAAATGCTAACAACGGTTTTGACAAAGAAGCTTTTATCAATTACCGAAGATGTTTCCAGCGTAAATCACAATATTTCCTCTATTCAGGATACCTTTTTTCTACCAGTAAGAGTACCGTCATTAAAGATTCTTGTCTATATTTTCATGTTATATAGAATTTATTTCACTTAAAAAATTAGCATTTTATATCTTTTCCATAGAATACCTGTTAAAAATATACCTGTTAAAAACACAACTATCTAGTGCAAATGAAACCTTTGAGTGGAGTACACAATCATTAAACGACACTTGGAGATTTCCACTAGAACCCCAGCACTGCCTTCGTTTCCGTATTGCTCGTCTTCAGTTCACATTTTGTTGGCCCACAAAGGCTCCACCGGGCCCAAATCCTCCTCCGACAACCACCATTGTACTCATTACATATAGAGAAAATTATGTATGGCTCTCATGGCCAAATGTAGGCAGAAAAGAGGCAGAAAGAGGCTCGAACAGTTTTTCAAATACGAATCCCACCTAGGGGTAACGCAGGACGGTCTTCCAATTTTAAGTCTCAAGTTCTCCAACTAAAATTAATTAAATAAAAGTACCAGCCTGCTCCACTCCTCCCCCTTTAAAAACTACAGGAAGAGAGGATTTCCCTTTAAGTACCGACTTCTCCCACTTTGACTTCTCTCCTCCAGCGGCCCAGGTCCCCGACGACCCCAGCCCCTAGCTAGAAACCTCCGCCCCTGCACTCCCCTCCCCCACCAGTGGCCAAGCCCGCCCCCGGCCTCATTTATCCTGGAGCCTTTTCTGAATCGCGCAACCAATGGCAAACGCGAAGCCGAGAGCCACCGCGAGCGCAGGCGGAGGCGGAGGAGGTGTCGCCCAGACACCCGCCCAGGACGCTGCGGGCTCCCATCCCCCACCGCCCCGGGCCCGGGCCGCCCCCACTCGCGGGGTGCCCGGGGCCCGAGAAGGGCGCACAGGGTGGGGTGCGTCGCCCGCCTGTCTTGCCACTACCCCTTGCCCCCTTCACCCAGTCCCCCACCCCTCCTCGCATCGTTTCCGTCCCTGCCAGCCTTAGAAACGTGCCTGCGGCTTTGCTGGGGTTACACTTATAATGCCATTAAAGCCACCAGGCGAGTTCGAGATTGTGACTCTGGTTTTGTTGTTAATAACCTATTTTGAAAAATCGAATGATTAAAACTACGGTAACTAGAGCTGAGGAATTGCCTGTTAGTACCTCTACCCATTTCCTCATTAAAAAAAAAAAAAAAAAAAATCAATATTCCAGCCCTCCCTCCCAGGATCCGCCCAGACCAGATAACCCTTTCCAAACTCGAGTTGTGACCGTCAGCGCCCCGCGCCGCGCTCCCCTCGGTGCCGGCTGCGGTTCCTTTAGCATTTTCCCTCTTCCTCCTCCCCCTTCTCAGGGTCCCTCTCCCAATCTCGTTTCCCCTCCCCCTCTTCCTCTCGCTCGCTTTTTTTTTTTTCTCCGAAACCCACTCTAATTGAGGCTCTGGGATTCCTCACGTGAGACGTTGATTTGTAGTTTGAACACGTGGCTCATTCAAAAAGCCGGACACTCGGAGCGGATTTTTTCCGCCTCCTGCGCCTTCATCCCTCCTCCTCCTCCTCTCCCCTCCCTCCTGCCAGTCACCCTTCTGGGTTTTTTATGGGGAGGCGGCGCCTGCCTCACGTAGTGTGATATTTTCACAGTCCGCTGGCCGAAGCCAAAGGGGTTGGGGAGGAAGAGACAAAAAGTAGTTTTTTCCCCTCCTCCTCCTCCTTTCTCTTGCTAATCCCGCCTCCTTCTCAGACTTAGGAAGACTGGTGGATGCGTTTGGGTTGTAGCTAGGCTTTTTCTTTTCTTTCTCTTTTAAAACATATCTAGACAAGGAAAAACAAGCCTCGGATCTGATTTTTCGCTCCTCATTCTTGTGCTTGGTTCTTACTGTGTTTGTGTATTTTAAAGGCGAGAAGACAAGGGGAACAAAACCAGCTGGATCCATCCATCACCGTGGGTGGTTTTAATTTTTCGTTTTTCTCGTTAATTTTTTTTTAAACAACCACTCTTCACAATGAACAAACTGTATATCGGAAACCTCAGCGACAACGCCGCCCCCTCGGACCTAGAAAGTATCTTCAAGGACGCCAAGATCCCGGTGTCGGGACCCTTCCTGGTGAAGACTGGCTACGCGTTCGTGGACTGCCCGGACGAGAGCTGGGCCCTCAAGGCCATCGAGGCGCTTTCAGGTGGGCCCGGGCCTGGCCCCACCCGGGCTCTCGCCCCAGCCCTGCACCGCCCGCCCAGACCCACCGGGGTGGCTCCGCGGGCCCCAGGCCCGGCGCGCTGGGGGAGCGGGGGTGAGGCCTCAGCGCCCACACCCACGCGCGTGGGGGCCGGGGCTCTCCTCAGCTTCGGCTCCCACTCCAGCCCGCGGCTCTGCTTCCCCGGCCGGGGTTTGTTGGGTGAGGGCGGACGCGCTGTCAAGAAAGCCCCGGCGCTGGCTAAGGGGGGCGCGGGGCTGGGGGAGGCGCGCTCCCCCGGCGCCCCGCCCGGGCCCAGGCGCGTGCTCCAGGCCCCGGCACGCTGGGCCTCGGGGGCCGAGCTAGAATGCCCGCCTGTGTCTCATTCCTTCCTGCTTTCCTCGGTCGTTATTTACGGCGCTGTCTGTGCTGCGCCCCGAAACCCCGGCCGTGGAGAACGGAAAGTGGCCTCGACCTTGCTGCCGAGTGAGACCGCGGGGCTGGTGCCTCGCACAGGCGGCCCCGCGCTTCCTCCCCACCCTGCGGGAGGAGAGAGTGTGCCCGGTTTCCCCGTTCCACCTCCCCCGGTCCGACGAGCGATAGGGGCAGGTGGGCGGGGGCGGCTGGTCGCCTGGAAGGGAGTCGCCGCCACGCACCGGGCCGCCCGCCGCTCTCCGGGCCCTGGCGCGGGGCTGCGGCCTCCGGGTATGGCTCCGCCAGGGCGAGGGACGGTGCCGGGCGGGGCGGGACGCCCGGGGTAAGGCTGCGCTGGGGTCCCCATGGGAGCCCCGAGCTTTTCGGCTTCCCTTTTAATCAACTCAGACGTGGTGCGGGCGCCTCGCAGTCCTTCGCTCTTGGTTCAGCCTGAGCCGAGCTGCGCCTCTGCCAGTTCTCCCGTTCTGGGTCTCCCCTGCCGTCCCCGACCCTTTCCCGCCACTCCCTGTCCTCCCCAAGCCCACTGCTGAGTGTTCCCCGCGGGTTGGGCTGAAGCAGAGGGCAGAGCCAGGGCGCCCCCTCCTGAAGAAAGCCAGGGGAGCCCCCTGCCCCGAGTCTGTCCTGTGGAGCGTGTCCAGGGCGGTGAGAGGATGGGCCGTGTCCCTCTTGCGGGCTTCGTGTTGGTGGCCCCCAGGGGTGGGTGGGGGAGGCTTTGGGGACTGGACTGATACCCAAGTAGTGGGCCCGTCAGCGGACCCTGCTCCTCAACCATCTGCGAGTTAAATGCCCACGCCGCCCGAGGGGGTCGGCTTCTCCCTCCGTCTGGAGCCGCGTCCGGGTCTCGGGGACCCTTCGGGGGCCTCGGGAGGCCATTTGTGTCGCCTGTTGGGCTGTGCGGGTCTTTCGGGCAGGGAAAGCCGCTGAACTCGGCCGACCGTCTCTCACTTCTTGTGTGTCCGCAGGTAAAATAGAACTGCACGGGAAACCCATAGAAGTTGAGCACTCGGTCCCAAAAAGGCAAAGGTGAGCTGCTGCTTCTGTTTCCCCCGATTCTGTTCTCACTCCGTTATTGGGTGGAGAGACTCAGCTGAGAACTTCTTGTCCTTTGGTGCTTACCCGGCTGCGGTGTGGCGTGGTGTTCTGGTCTTTTCCCCTTGCTTTTAAGTTTATGGCGGGGGTGTGTGTGTGTGTTGATGATGCTGGGTAGGAATTGAAAGCTTGTCTGTGGCCTCTGCAGCGGGATTATGGTTATTGGTTACAAAATCTCTCGGAAGCTCACAGCTGAATGTCCTCGGTCAGAGCGGGTCAAATTGCTCCTACGGGAAATGGGTCGCAACAAGCAGTTTCGGGGGGTACTCTGCAGGACTTGGGAAGCAGCGGATGATTCCCCTACCCCTCCAGGAGCAAGAGAGGCGAAACCAGCTGCGGACACGCGGGGGGCGCGCCTTTCTGTCCGGATTTGGGAGGCCGTGGGCGCGGCCGACTGGAGAGGAATTTGCCTCTGCCCTGTGAGCTCGCCAGGGGTATTGGAACGCGTGCGTAAACGCCGGGGCCTCTCCGGCCCAGAAGTGCCTTTGAGTCATTCCAAAGTTCTACAGGTTCTTGCAGTCAGCACCTTTGTCTCCCCGCTTTCCACCCCACTCCTCCTGGGTACATTTTTGCTTACAACCACCAAATGATGAAGACAGGAAGATTTTGTGCCACTTAAGGAGGGGGATTTCTCGTCTTCGAGATCATGTGTGTAGTATGTCCCTTTACAGAATGTTTGCAGATTGTTTTAGCCTCTGAAGCATTTTGGAGACATGGCTCTTTCCCTTTTTCTTTTTCTTATGAAGCCTTTTGGAGCAGTGGAGACTCCTTTCCTTTCGCTAGAGCCGGCCAGATTCCGGCTCTATTTTTTTGTTTTGTTTTATTTTTTAAAACCTTCAGCCAACTCACACCATAGGTTCCGGCTCTAACTCCAGTTGGAAAGGCACTGCTGCCTCCCAGTCGCACCGGGGTGGGCCTCTAAGCCTTTCTGGGTTTTGCAAGATGGGGTTAGGGTTTCTGCCTGCCCCTCTCCCATCCCCCCAACTCCCAACCTGAGCCAAACAATAAGCTGAAAGTTAATTTAAATCAGGACTGCGTGTATCTGGTTAGATATTGGTGAGAGTGTGTGTGCTGGAGAGCAGGAGAGTTTGCTATGCATTTCACTGGTGCTGTGCAGAAATAGATGGCTACAAAACATGTCATCTATATGCCTGTGTAGATTCCAGCTCTCTTCCCAGGCAAAGCATTTTCACAAATCTTGTTTTTAAGGATGAGTTGGTTTGGATTTTTCTTGTTCTCATGCTTAAATTTCACTAAGATAATTGAAAGGGATTTGAGTGACTGGATAGATTGTTCTAATTGGGAAGTTTGGTAGGGGTCACATTACTTTCATATAAATTGAGCTTGGTTTAACAAGAATTGAAAATCGAGGGAGAAGTTATATTCCCCTAAAAAGAAGCTTAAAGCCATAGCCTGAATTAGTTAGGAAAAGAACATAAGCACATTTTGCGAATTCTAGTTGTTATTATGTTTGGTCAGTGTGTCTTAATTTTGTTAAAATGTTGAATAAATAAGCAAATGATTGTGCCTCAAGTACTGGCATTTTAACTTTTGGGAGTTTCTAAATTTAAAAATTAAATGTTTTGGATTTTTACAATTCATTAAGCTACATGTAAATACAGATGACTGTGCCTTCCCCTGCTGCTTTTCTTTTGCTAACTGATGGGAATTTCTCCCCAGGTGTAGGGGATTAATTTAAAAACATTACCTGGTAACAACTGCCTGTTTTATTCCTAAAGGCTTTTGCTTAGTCCAAAAGCATATATATACTTAGTTACTTGTTACTTTATAATAAACAGGAGTTCCTCTTTAGGAAAGCACATAAGGTAAGGTGTCACCAGTGACAGCAAGTATTTATCAATGTATCTTCAGTTTATTAATAATGTAGATTAAATTTTTAAGTTCATTTTTCACTAGCATTAAAATGCTCAGGATTTTAAGTGATACAGTACTATCTTACTAACGAAGTAAACAGGGATGAGAACACTGGAGATTTCTTTTACTGATAGAACAGTCATGTTCCTTGCTTGTGTTGAAATGTCTTAAAAGTAGAGCCTTTGGCCGGGCGCGGTGGCTCCTGCCTGTAATCTCAGCACTTTGGGAGGCCAAGGTGAGTGGATTGCCTGAGGTCAGGAGTTCGACACCAGCCTGGTCAACATGGTGAAATCCTGTCTCTACTAAAAATACAAAAATCAGCCGGGCGTGGTAGGGGGTGCCTATAATCCCACCCAGCTACTCAGGAGGCTGAGGCAGGAGAATTGCTTGAACCGGGGAGGTGGAGGTTGCAGTGAGCCATGGTGCCACTTCACTCCAGCCTGAGCAAGAGTGAAACTCCACCGCAAAAACAAAAACAAAAACAAAACTTTTTTCCTCTGCCCCTGGAAATCTATGTTACAATTATTTTAACTGACCCTTGGAGCTGTGATGCAGTTTCTCATATCTGGACTATTCCACCATTTTCAGAGGCTCTGGAAGCAGACAGAGAAGGCATCAGGGTGACAACATGCCCAGCACCTAAGGGAAGGTCAAGAGGTTGTACTGACTGATGGGGGTTGCTCTGATAGTTGAATGCCACAAACCAATCCTTGCCAAGCCTGCTGGACTTGAGGGTGGAGTTCTTTCTGCTTAGCAGTCATTTCATTCCATCCCATCATCATGTGGGCATCTGAGGCAGGCACACCCACATGTGCACCAGTGACCTTTATACTTGATATACAAGGCATGTCAGGAACCTGGTGCTGGAGAATGCACGCTGAGATGGATGAATGGGCTTGCGCTGACTAAATAGGGGAGCAGGCCCAGGAGGTGATTGGAGGCTTGGCAGGCTGGGTTAGCTTTGACTTCCAATGGAGCTTGGCGGGGGGACCCTTTCAGGAAGGAGTAAGGTTGAATTTGGTTCAGACCACGCTTAGCTCCCAATTACTGAGGTCTCAAGGGAATGTGGAAGGAATGTGGCTTTTCTGCATTCAGATACCCCTCAGTTGGGGAAGATTATAGCAGTTACTTTACAGACATTGAAGTCTCCTGCATCTGGACTAAAGAGAAGATTGCACTGGATATCTGTGATAGTGTTGCACTTTCTATTCTAAATGTAAAAGCTATAGAACATGAAGACTTCGACTCCGAAGTATAGGCTCAACTTTTTTCCCTCCACTTTGGAGGTAAGGGTGGGTATGGAAAATAGTTGGTACTTGGAAATGTTGTATCTGAGTTTGGTTGGAAGAGCTGCTGGTATCCTGTGGGGCCTTGTTTGTGCCCCTATGTGATTATGTAAGTAGCACTGATGTCCTTTTTTGTTATGTTGTGGGCTGTTGGGCATGGGAGAGGGAAGAGGAAAATTGCTGACACTGGAGAACTGAGGGGATGGTGGTTTTAGTTCAATTTCCTTGACTTTTTTAAATTATAAAAATAATTTTTCATATGTTCAGTTTTTCAGAACCTAACCTTTTTGTTGCTGCTTCCTATGTGATGAAGAACCTAAGCATATTTTTATGAAACTTCCTCACGATTTAGCTGTTGGCATTGTTTAGGATTATGTGTAGCAATAAATACATTTGAAGAAAGGAGGAAAAAAATAGGATATTATAGTTAATATTTTTCTAGGCAGGATCCTTTATTTTTTTCTTCCTTTTAGGGTAGGATTTTTTTTCCCCCCTCAGAGTCTCGCTCTGTTGCCCAGGCTGGAGTGCAGTGGCATGATCTCAGCTCACTGCAACCTCTGCCTCCCAGGTTCAAGTGATCCTCCTGCCTCAGCCCTGTTAGTAGTTGGGATTACAGGCACGCGCCTTCATGCCCGGCTAACTTAGGGTAAGATCTTTTAAAACGGACTATGGTGCCTAAGCTCAAACGTTCTTTTTTGTTTACTTAAAAAAAAAAAACAGTGATAGTTGCCCAACACTATGAATGTATTTAACACCATTTAATTGTACTCTTAAAAGTGATTAAGATGGTAAATTTTATGTGTTTTTACCACAGTAAAATTGGGGGAAAATGCAAAAAAGAAAGTGAAGAACTTATTTCCATATTAGTCTCGTGTTTAACATGTAAATTGGGTAGAACTTATAAAAGTCATTGGGGTTTTAAATGTATCTTACTTTAAGTGGCTATTTAAAAGCTAGTGTTGCATTTTAATAGGTGTTAAGGATAGAATAGGCTAGTGTCAGGACCAGCAACGTGCCCATTAGCCAGGGCACATGACCCTTCAATGCTGCCTCCGACTTCAAAGTCCTAGGACAATAAAAGCTGTTTTTAATATAGAACATCTAAACACAGGTATGAATATCAGTGGTACTCCTTCCTTATCAGTGTGTGGCTCAGGTGAATCTTGTGATTCGGGAAAGTTTTTCACACATGCAGAGACTTGAGGTTCTGAATGTTAGGAAGCTTTCTTGGCTGGTTAAATGATTATAAACTGGGTTATCTTTAGAGTGCTCAGTTTAAGATCAGTGTGGGATTGCCTAAGTGGTTGTAGCTGAAAAGATTTTTTTCCTGATTTCATATTTTCTCAAAACAAATTGAGAGAGTTTGAAAGATTTCTTACTTTGGTTTTGATAAGAGTTTTTAAAAAAAATTAGATGCATGTTGATGAGTAGCTTCTACTGTGCGGCTGTCCGCAGTAACCCTGAGGAAGATGTTATGGAAACATGACATGTGCCTGGAGCCAGTGGAAATTGAGAATCTTGGCTTCTGTTTCTGGCTTTCCCTTTGATTTGTGTGATCAGTTACATTCTCTGTTCAGGCCAGATGCCATTATGATAAACTACAAGGGGCATATAGTATTTTGTTCTGAGGTTTTGCCATTGTGCTCAAAATAAATAGGTTATCAGCTAAGGCTTAAAAATCTTTTTTGGAATTAAGAGAGACCTGGGGTTTTTCCTGTAAGGAACTTGACTTAAAATTTTTTTTCTGTAGCTCTGTTGTTTTTGCCTGTGTAC